TGAACTGACAAAACCCATCATTAATTAAATATGAAAAGCACTTCCACGAAGAAACCACTCAACGCTTTTCTATTAATCATGTAACATTTCTTACATTGCACAGACTTTTTCCGCTGAAAAAAGTGACAAAACATGCAGAGAAGGAACTTTACTTTCGACATGTCGATTTGATATTTCACACAAAAGCACATCAAGCAGACCGATCTTACGTGAAAATATGTTTGTTCTTCTCTATAAATTCAGCAAGACTGTAGTGTCTCATTTTTGGGGTCTGATTCAACAATTCATGGAGATCATTGGGAAAACATTCCACCGGCGGTTGTCATTGTGTGACGCAAGACGCGCGATGCTCGCGAGTGAAAATAAATTCAGTGGCGTCGCGAATGGGGAGCGCGTCATGAGGATGATGACGATAATAGGTTCGACTAAATTGATTTCACATCTTTTTCTCAAAATAGATAATTGATTGATTGAGCTGGGTTGGCTCTAAGAGGCAACAGAGAGAAAGGAAAACATGTCACGTCGCCGAGGTTGTGTCGTGTTGGAAATTTTGCTCACAAAATTGATTATATTGCAGCAATAATATTAATTTAAACACATACAATATCCACAATATATGATGAAGGCGAGAAAGGGAGACAGAGCGAGAGGCGGCAATTAAAATGTTAATTATTTACGCTCCTATTCGACTTTACGTGTATTTGTGTCTTATTTCATAATGCTCTCTCGCCTCTTGTTTTTATTCTCATCCACTCGATTCATGATTTAATTTTTATTGCTCTCACTCTGTTATGAATCGGAATGATTTTCTATCGGCATTTTGAGCCTCTCTCTCACTCTTCCTCCGCCTTTTTCATATTCACCCAGCATTCTGGCCTTTTTTGCGCCTCTGTCTTTAAGTGGCTCCGTATGGCAAGTGGCCGGAAAACATCGTGATATGCTGAAGCGATAACGCGATTTCTTCCCCGAGACACTTCACCAATGCGGCGCGTCTTCATTTGGCATGAGAGGCGCAGATGAAAAAGAATGTAGATTGATTGAGCTCGGTGGACTTGATTGATCATTGCAGCCACTATACATTACCTGACTTCGCATATCCACTTTATGATGATGCAAATTAACGAGCTTTACACAATGATTGCCGGGGCCACTCTCGAGGTCCGTTGCTTGTTCTCTCCACATGTCGTGGATCACGATTTTTCCACCCCAGTTTCCTCAGCAATCCCACAAGGAATGCCTCATTTTGGCAAAAGAGAGATTAAAATCCGAGTTAAAAATTGAAATAATTTGAGTGAATTTCTCATTCACGCTAATCCGGGGCGATGTTGCTTTGTCAGCCGTCCAGCAAACAGCATTAAAATTAAGCCGGCTTAAAGGGTGGGCAGGTCTTCCTGTTTCGCAACAGATTATGTGATCTAGCAATTCCCTGAGTGCGTCTTTTGTGCGCCTCACAGAGCCATTCATGAAATCTCTGTCTGATCTTGAGGATCTCTAATCCTTCCCAGAAGACCCCACTTAAGCCTCTCGTCGGCTCCGCAATTAAGATTGTGGGTCGATACCCGAAAATTTTTATGTAAAAATTCCGTGGAGCGCGATAAGACGTTGCGCGTTCCATTCTCTTTTCCGACAATTCCCAACATGGAAGTCTATTAAGGCGAAATCAAATGCGAATTAATTGGTGAGCCGGAATGTGACATGGAGAAAAATATATATATGTTTGTGGACAAGGAATGCTCCATGAGTCGCTGCGGAGCTGAGTTATTGAGAAATTAGAATAATAGTATGTAAATATGTGGCCACAATAGACTGACGAAAAGCACGGGAAAAAAATCACGGACCAAAAATTAATATGTTGCATGAAGTTGGCTGTCGTTTCTTGCATGTTAATTCCCAATTTTTTTTCACAGCTCTCTTTGTGCATTTCTTCGCCAAGACGAAAAGCAGGTATTCAGCTCACTATTAACTGCACACACACACTGAATATCAAATTAAGTGGGATTTTGTGGAGGAAAAATGCGGCAACGATATTAAAATTCATGTGCTCTCGTGTGCCTTCTTTTAACCATATTTTCGAGGGAGTTGAAAATAGCGAAGAAGGAATACAAAAGACTCTCTCTCTCTCTCTGTCCGTTTCTTCGCAAAGTATGGCAGCAACACGCTTGTCTCTCTGGCTTTGAAATGCGAAAGGGAGAAAAGTAAAAATTGCAGTGATATTTTCCTCGGCTTTTGTTCATATTTAATCTTGACAAAGTGATTGAGAGCCTCTCTTTCCATTCGCGTTTGCGAGGAAGAATCATGTGAAATGCTCGCGCGATTTCCCAAAGTATCGTGTAACTTTTGTAAAATATACCATCGCTCTTCGATACATTGTAATCGCGATTGCGGTGATCTTTCGCCTTCTCAATGGAGATGTAAGAGTTGTTGTTGAAGAGTTACAACAGGCAAGCTTGCTAAATAACTGAATTAATTACTTGCTCTAAGTGCGATGCAATTAAGTCGTATGGAAGGCATTATTCATTGATTTAAATAATCAAACACTTTATGTGGAGCTCCTCCGTTGCAGAAGGTTTTTGAGAGAACAACAACACCACACAGTGTACTTAAAACAATAATTAATACCGCATTACCTCAACACCTCAATTGTGAGAATAACACGGGCGGGAAATTGGCGTGGACGCGCGATGAGGAAAAATACCTTTTGAGAAAATCGACAGAGAGGAAAATTTCACTCGTGGAATTGTAAGAATGGCTTTGAGGAAGGCAAAGAGCGCTTCGCATGCGACTTTTTCTTGCTGTCATTGGGGCCAGAGAGGAAGTTGTAAAAAACTTCATAATTCACCGAAAAAACGAGAGCTCGTAATTTGCTTATTAACACAGCTTTGATCATGGGTGGGTTTCTTCTGCCATTGCATCATCATAAATATGCCTAAATTACTGCAATTGAGGACCATATTTCTTTATAGTGCTCTAAAAGAGGGACTTTAAACTTAATACTCTTGAAGATACTTCAGAGACTTGCCAGGTATAGTGAAGATTCAAGACGATCTTTTGTAATGCTAATTTGACACTGAAATGATGATGACGCCTTGAGACTCGTAAAGTTTTCTGTTGTGCTCAAACTGTTCGCCATAGTTTTAACTACAGACATTCCTGATAATTTTGCAAGCAATAAACATTTATTGCATTAAAGTATAGTTATCGCTTAAGTGATTATATTACACCGTGTGACAGTTTGGGGTGAGTTTCTGATGAATGGCATTTTTCTTGAAAATTCAGATTCGATAGAGATTAGTCAAGAGTTCTTCTCACAAACGTTACCATTTACTGCAATCACTGACATCAAACTTGAAGAGGAAATCTAGAGATGATCCTTGAATTCGCCCGTGCGAATTAATCCCAAAGACTGCTTCAAACTTGTGTAATACAATTAATAAAAATATCCCAAATGACTCTTAATTGAGCATTGAGGGTCTGTTCGCTTAAGCCGGCATTTTCGAGAAGTGTCCTTAATTAAAATTTCGTGGAAAACGACCAGGGTTCGTCCCTCCCTGAACTTAATACGCCCAAGTTTGAGTGCCGAAATCTGCAAATGCCAACCCGTGCCAAGAATAGAACGGCCATAAAGGCAAAAGTTTCGGACTGGAAATTATGATTAGGTTTATAGAGAGGAGATTTATGATCTCAATTTGTGCGATACGGGAAATTCATTAGGCCAAGTATCTCGTGACCGCGCGCTTCCCAAGGCGAGACATTAAGGAATCGATGCAATTGACGAATTAAATTGACATGGTGGGTGGGATTGGGCGCCGCACAATGGGAGAAATTAATTAAGATGGGAATTCGAGCGGAGAATTTATTAACGAAAGTTTCTCCGCCGTACAGCAATTTCAGTGATAAATGCTCCAAAATGTACCGGAAAGTATCCCCGATGGAGTGTGGGTGCTTCTTGGGGCTACCACGCCCGAATGTCTGCGCACACTCGGGTCCGTTCCGGTGTCATCGCGGTGGATGCACGGAGGCCACCGTGAGTGCACTGCGGAGGGTGGGTTCCGGCCATTAAGATGTCACTGAGCAAAAATGGCTGCTTGTCATATCGGCTAGGCAGCTATAAATAAACACTGTGTACCTTCAACTTTGTCACCCATTCACTCACCCATCGGGATCCGTGTCTGCGTAATCCAATTAGCGGATGTCTCCTGCCGCATCCGAGGTGCCTTTCGCCGCGCTGCGACCGGATACCACTGCACACTATATATGGTTTTTTTTGGCACACAAGTCATGCTTCAATCTTCATCTGCTGTCAACGTGATTTATCAAGTTTAATTGCACAAGAGTCCTACATCACCGCTTGCACTAAATATAATTGATGCTTCTTCACCATATCAATTAATTAGCATCGCATCACACGTGAGGAACTGTACAGTGTTCTGCTCATTCTCAGCTGCATTCGAGGTCGGTGGTCATTGATTTTTTTTCTTCTTCTCTCCGTCTCTGAACTACTTTCTTCGCCTCTCTCATGTGGGTGAATCGCCTCCACTCACACACTCGCCCGAAATCGAGACACGTGAGCTGCGATGGAACCACCCCTCTCGATTCCTACTGTCGGCGTTTCGCAAAGGTCATATATTGTACCGCTCGGACTCCTTAGGTGGTCCTATTCGAAATCCTAACCCGCCGGATCGGCTCCAAGGCTACGCGCGTCAAGAGAACTAGAACAGAGGAGAAGTGTAATTGCGCAAAAACACGAGCAGTAATTAAAGTCATCAGAGAATAATAAAAACGAGGGATAGACATGGGGTTTATATGCAAAAAAAAAGAACTTTACCATTGTCATTTGATGTCATCGCGCGATGACGCCGTTGATCTTCAAAAGAGCGACTCATTAGCGAGCGAATGCAAGGCGCAACATCAAATACGACAGAGTGCAAAATGCGTGTGGGTGGGTACGATTGAAGACTACGATAAATTTCCGTGCCAGAGAGAGAGAGAAACAATGTGACTATTGGATGACGTTAAATACATCAACTTTTATATTTATTTTCACTTTTCTCACAGTTAAATTATCATCTTTGGACATGATAAGAAATTTCTTCATCCTCCTCACTTTTTTTTCCACCTCATTTCATTACTTTTCTGTATGTCTTCCTTATTACAAAAAAGAAATTAACACAAATCTTTTGTTGGTGTTCTAACCTCAAATGTTACTTCCTTTGCTTGCAAGTGTTATTATGGGGGGGGGGAGGGTGTGGGGGCGGGGGAGATACTATCATTTCTGAAAAACAGGTTCTGTAATCAATTTTGTGAATGCAATTGTTTATCATTTACCGTCTTCTCCTGGGCTTTTTAAAATCGTGTAGCAATGACAAGTCACTAGCAATTAATCAATTTTTTTTTATAATGAATTTCAATGATTGGAATTAATTAATCTACTATCACATTTAAATGCAACGGAAAGGTTGCTTCATGTAAGACACAAATAAAAACAGATTTTTGTCGCGGTCTATATAATCATAATCATATATATGTTTTTTTTCCTTGAAAGATATATAGTTTCATATTCTACTTAATTATTTTTTGTTTGAAATTTTTATGTGGTTTTTTCTTCTTCATTCAATTTACTTCTTCCTTTATCTCCTACTTCTGCTTCATACTTTATCTTGCATCTATTTCTTTGCTCTCTTTCCGCCTCTTATGCATATTTTTCATTAAATATTTTTTTCATTTTATATGTAGGTTTTTTATATATAGGTTTTTAGTAGTAAGTCCAGTTTCTTCATTCTTTCTCTCGTGTTTTCCTTCATGTTTATAGAGGGTTTCATGTTTTTTTTTTAATCTTTTTAGTATAGTATAGAGATTTTGGGTCTTACTAAGATCACACATTATAGCACGTCACTTGCTGCATCTGCGGGAATGCTGAGGCGGTCAGCTGCGGGAAGGAGGAGCTGACCGAGCCGGTGGCCATCATGTAGGGGTGCAGTCGATGTGCTCTCAAGTATTGTCTGTATTTGCCACTGAGAATGTGCTTGTCGTCGCGGGGAACGGCGGGGGTGGCGTCGGGGCCGGCCTGGTAGTCGCGCGGTATAGCCGCCATGGGGCTCCGCTCGGGCTCCCACCGGGCCGAGTGGCTGTCATTGTTGGTGCTGCTGTAAATTCCGCAGCCTCCGGACAGCATGGCGTCCCGCTTGCCCACCGGTTTACTGTACATGGACTGCCCGGTCATGTTGACAGACGCGGGGATGCCCATGTGATTCCACGACGCCGAGCCCGGGTTCTGCGGCTGCTGCGCCGACTGCTGCCCACCGTGGCTGTGTATCACGGCCCGGCGGGCCTGCTCGATATACTGTGTGTTGGTGGCCTGCGCCGACTGCCCATTGCTCGCGGGATACTGCGCTTGCTGTGACATTTGGGACATCTGCTGCTGCTGTATCTGCTGTGCCAGCTGCATGTGATGTGCATGGTGGACCTGCGATGACGCCCTGCTGGAGCGTCGCGATCCAGCCACGGCCGGCGCCGTGCCGGTGATCACAGAGCCAGCGGCCGTGGTGGCGCTGCGTGATGAATTTGGCATGTTGTTGATGAAGGGGCTGCGACGCTGGCTCTCCATCTTGCGAAAGTAGCAAGGGTGGATCATGAGCAGCGGCTCCACGCGCGCCCCGGCGGGTGGCTTCGCCGCGTTCGGCAGCTCATACTCCACACTGCAGTCCACATGCAGCGGTATGCTGTAGTCCTTCTGCGGCGGACCCGACAGCCGATTCGACTGGTGGGTCTGCTGCTGCTGGTGGTGCTGCGTGACACCCTGACCACCGCCCAGATCGTAGCTTCCATAGCACGCCGCCATAGCCATAGCTTCGTGAGACAGACTGCTGGGCACACGACACTTGCTTACGACTTACTGCGCTACACTTAGTTTAAACGACATTAAGCACACTTATTAAACTCGCTTTATCTCTCCGGTGCAACTATTCCATAACTCCGCTCGTGGGTTTATATTTTATAAAAGGTTGGCACTAGAACGCTGTTGCTCCGAAAAAGTGTAATCCAGATTTAGAGCTTTGATGTGTCTTCTGTGTGTGAAGATGGGTAATCCAAATCGATATGATGAGCCGGAGAATTGTGAGTTAATCCTTGATTTCCTTTTGACTTAGATGATGGACTTTTGCACTAAACACACTTTCGAACACGGTTTCCTTCTTTATGTTTCTCTTTCTAACTTGCTCTCTAGTTGCTATTCAGTATTACTAGTCAGTTATTAAATTCTAGTGTAATTCAAGTAACAGGAACATTAATCCAAATATATCTATGTACAGATGAAGTAGAAAAGGGCATTGGCTGCAAGAACTCAGTCTTCGTTCAAAAGAGGGTGTATATGAGTTGTGAATTTTATCATCGACACTATTTCGAGTTGTGGACTATTTAAGTGTTCTTTCAGCTCAGTCTTTCACGAGTAGATACCACTCCGTTTCTCACTATTCCAGAGTTTAGCCACCAAACTCTCCGAAAAAACCAAACACCACTTCACACAGTAGTCAATGTGTAATCCATAATCCTTCCAAGGGGTGCAGCGCACAAAAGTTCTTTCTTTCCTGAGGAAAGCGACGGCTTTCCTCGGCGCACAAACTTGGACTCTGTCACTTTTACTTCCTTCTTTCTCCTGCTCTCTCACACTCTGTCACTGAGATGCACTGAGCCTTGAGCTCAATTTGTCTTCTCTTCTCGGGCTCTACGCCTCGACTAGCTGACTAACCACTGCTCCGACTCTCAGCAACCCATGTTCTCACCCGAGTCGCTCGGCTCGGCGGTGGTGGGGCGTCGGCCCGCCCTCGGCACACGCTCGGCCGAGCAGGTTCCCAACCACTGGCCGTGTCGGCGCTCGCAAAAGACAAAATGCAATGCCGACGAGCAGCCGGGCGCTGTGTAATCTCAAATGTCGGTTTTCTTTTGTGCGGTAATTCTCTCGTCTAGCGAAGCCAGGGAATCCCTCGTCCACGGACAAATCGGCATTTGAAAGTGTGCGCGCTCCGAGAGCGTGGAAATTGATGATTAAGCTCTCTCTCGCGCTCTCGCGCTTCCCCAGCCGGTCCCCACCACGCTCACGCCGTGCCCCTCTCAGACACAGATATGTCACAGCCGCGAGGCAGACGGATTATGTAGGACTGACCGTTCGCGGGATCTCAGATGCATCTGGCCCAATTGCCTTCCGGTCTTAATCAGCTCGCGAGGTGAGTCGCTTCCACGAAAAAGCCATTTGTCATGGGGCTCAAACATGACTTATCGGGAAGTATTGGCGGCGCTGAAGGTGGATTTTCGAGTGCCCAAATGCGATGGCCAATCGAAGGGGCCTGACTCTGATATTCATCAACTACATACCATGCAATGTATGTTCAAAATAGAACGTAAAACTTGATTAATGACTGATATTGAAAGTGGGAGAATGCAGGGAAGATTTCGGTGACTAACTTCACAAGCCCTGAGTTGTATAAAATACGTAAATACTTAATCGGATAAAGTAAACAGATTTTAAACCTGAAACCTCAACAGATTTGAAAAAAAGCCTGTTAGCTGTGAATTTTAGATAAAAATAATCCATCTAAGTGGGCGGAGCCAACAAATGGGCGGGTCTTGCGTAATTTTTCCTTTATTCACGCAGCGAAAAACTGAACTTTGCATCATTTTCCTTATCAATTTGAGTATGAAATTCAAACACAAACTGTTGTTTACCACTAAAATCACTCTGACAGTAATCTAGCAATGCTTATCGTGACTTTTCACAACGAGCTCCGCTCTTCCGATGATAATTTATAATTCAGACGCGCGATATCGTTCACACCATCACGCTCTCCCTCTTTGCTGATGATGGGGTTGAGTTTTGGCGGATATTTACAATAAAAAATGAATCATATCCGCCTCGTTTTTCACTCTTTCGCCACTAGTCGGCGCCCAGATGAGAAAGGCAAGTCGTGGGCGGTGGGATAAGAGAGTCTCTCTCTCTCGTCAGTACAATGTTGCCGAGGCATTTGGCTGTCATTTCGCATATATGGGAAATTTATGGTTTGGGTTATGTATGGAATTGCATTGAATACGAAAGGAATGGCGATGGATTTAATCATATAAATTGTGAAACTGTCTAAAAAGCTCTGCCAAGGAAGCTTTTAATCGCTTCCCTCATATCATTCCTTGTCAAGGATTTAATTTATTGTGTCCAATCCCCATATTATAAGCAACGGTGGCTCAGGAGGACCGTGAAAAAAGCGAACCCAGAGAGCGAGCGACTCCGAAAAGAGGGATTTTGCTACATTGTTACTTACATTCTATATTTATGCTTCATATGCTGGGACGCTACTGCACATTATTTTCAATTCGGATTTTCTGGGCTCTGACTCGCCTTCTCGTTCTGACACACAGTCGTGAATGACGGCCGGAGTTTGGTAATCCGTGAGGGAAAACGGTTTGGGATTTGCTCTGTCACAATTTACAAATATATACCAAATGGTTTAAGTATGATTAAATTGATTTTGAAAACCATTAGTTTTTTTTTCTCTCCCATCCACATCGTGTTCACTTCTTGCAAGGCGTCTTCGAGAGTCCACCGGAAAGATGGAAGAGGCAGAGAAAAAGTTAAATTATACAGACTAATCCCGAGTCAGAAACTAATTACACACATTTCCGCTTGATTATTGGGGAACAATTGGAACGGAGTGTGAGGCAACCTTCTTGCTATTTTATTAATTCCACGATTATTCTATATGGGCTCTCCGGGTAAATTGCTGAAACGCAAGGCCCCGCATTGTCTCAGTACCGTGAGCTTAGTGCGGAATGTGTTTGCAATTTTCACGTATCATTGCCTATTTGTGTGTTAAGTCACATTAAACCCCATACCAGCAGCGGCGCGCTCTTTTTTTCCACCGGATAATGCCATAATTTATTGTAGCAATCCCTCTTTGATATATCGGTACCATCGCGCTCGCGTAATTTATTCATTGGTGCACACTTTATTTTTCACTCCACTTCGGGCGACCCATTGATTACTATTAAATTCTGCACACACTCACACCATATAGTTTTCGGATGTCGAACTCCTTCGACGCCAATATCTCACCGAACGTGAAACTTTGCAATTCGATAGAATATTTTATTGGGCTCTCTCGCTTCGCATTTGCACCCATGAAACTGCCATAAGTTTCCCGTTTCAGCGTCTCTCTCTCTTCTCGTTTTAATTAAAGACTTTCATATTGATTTTCATTTTTCACATCGTGCCAACTTTATGGTGTATTTCACCCCCAAAGGGGCGGGCAAATGCCTCGAATGAGGTCATTATGCTTAAAAATTAATGAGAAAGATAAGTGATATTGCTGCAACACTTTCAGTCATTACAGGACTTTCGTATCATCCTTGTCCTGTAATATAGATCTCTTACAAAATTCATATTCAAGTACAGGCGAATAACTCTATCTACTATTATTAAATATAACACTTGACATTTTGTAATCTTCCCTTCTTGGATATCAAAGATCTTGATGAAAGTTCCGTGCAAACAGAAGGAAAAGACAGTCAAATCTCTAGCAATTTCTTCATTTTTCCCTCTGATAAATCACATTTAACACCTTGATAAACACAGTTGGTCGCCTCTTGGCGGAAAACTTGCGCGATTATTCATTGGAATTAATCGGAAATAATTCTCATATCCCAGAGGCAATCGAGAACTAAGAAGTGCCATTTCAGAGCCCCTCAATCTTCAATCTCCGTAGCGAAGAGTGACTTCCCAGTGATTTTGAGCTGATATATTGCACAGGAGGTTGGAAAAAAAGGGAGGGATTTCAAGAAGAAACAATGATGAATCTTTCATTTCACATATATGAATGGAATTGGGAAGAAAGGGAGAATCAAGTTTTCACCTTTTATGTCATTTCTTCCACGAACTTGGACAATTTTTTCTGCCCTCTCTCAATCTCTGCTCCCTTTTTTGGGTTTTTGCTTGTCCACCTCATCAAGTTGGCCAACAAAGACTTGAGCGCGCTGAGTCACTTTCTTGAGACACACAGAGAAGTAACTATTGTTGAGTAAAAGTTGCTTATATCTCCATTCTATTGATTTTATTATTGCTCTTCGGGCTGATGGTGAATTCGTGCTGGGGGAAGAGAGAAGAGATCGAGAATGGAAGAATGATGAGAAAGAGAGGCCGAAACGAAAATATCCAATGATGCTTTTCGAGGTGAACAAATACAAAATTTATGTTATATTCCAACTGGGTATTGATGGATCAATGAATTTTTGGGTGATTACCAACGAATTGGACGTGGAGTCGAGTCTCTAAGCGCGCTCCAAACCAATTTCAATCTATTGGAGTCTTTTTTTTTCTATCCAAAAAAGCAGAGGAAATGGGTGGAAAATGAGTGAATGCCTTAATAAATATTTTTGTGATAAATTACCAACGACAAGGTGATTGGGAGATTCTCTATTGAGCTCTCAGCTCTGGCTCAGTGTTGCGGAAGATGCAAAATCAAAACAAGCGATCGTATATTGTGCACTTGCCTTGGCCGTGAGAGATAAATTTTCAACATTTACATAAAGTATTTAACACAAAGTGCTTCCCAGGCATTTTTCGTTAAATATAGACAAATGGCAAAAGTTCTCAGAGCGACCCAAAAGAGACGGGGCGTCTCCACACCAGTCGAAATTGTCGATGTATTGTCAGTTTGCTTGATTGATTTCCATTTGGAATCCCATTAGAGATTACATACATTTACATAAGCTTATTTACCGTCTCTAAGAGCGCCTCGAAGACGAGTCAGCAGGTCAGCTTCATTGTCTTCCATCTCGCAATGCTCTTTTTCTCCACATCTCTCCGGATGCCGGAGAATACAATTTCTGCACGAGACGCGGAGAATGTGTGTGGACAAGAGAAGGGAAACAGCAGGAAATTGTATTTATTCTCTACTTTTCATTTTCTCCACTAATGACACTCACAGCTCCCTTCCTTGCCACGGTCAAATACTCAATAATTCATTTCGATTGTGAGCAAGTTACATTTTTTTCTTTCGGGGGCGTTTTCCACCCGACAGACAGATCAAAAACACCCAATCTTCCAGGCCATTCAATGGAAATTTGATGCAAGAGCCAGCAAATTTGGAATTGAGAGGCAATTATGGCCGAAGAATGGCACAGAGTGCGATCGATAAAGTAATTCAATGGCCCGAGAGTGGAGTGTTTTTGGACCACGACGACCACGGAACAATGATAGAGTGCATTAAATGGGCGCACATGGAAGAAATGGAGGATGCTATTGAGGAACTTTTTCCGCCCTCTTGCAATTTTACCATTTTTCCTCCTTTCTTCACACCCATTGTATCACATTCAGCAAGAACAAAAGCTTCACGCTGAAAAATTCTAATGAATAGCATCTCAACTCCACGATGACGCCCATTAAAATCACAGCTCGAGAGTGTGTTGATGATCTGAGAGGGAGAATGGCAAGTCAAAGGCTTTCAGAGTCACGCTTTTAAGGACAAATGCCGTCTAGCACAGAGTTTTGCATCAAATTGCCCCATGTGTGACCAACAAAGAGTTTGTTTAGGTACAGAAAACTCAAATATTACGAGGTTTGATGGCAAATATAGAGGTTTTTCTGCAGAGCATTCCGCTTTAGATGTTCACCGGGTTAATCTTGTTTATCAACTATGTTCAGTCGCTTCAGCAGCCCTCGTGACCATCACACATTCCATTGCTAATCTTGTCACACAGAG